GAAGGCCCGGCCACGGTGGGCCGTGGGGAGAAGGCCCGGCCACGGTGGGCTGTGGGGAGAAGGCCCAGCCATGGGGGGCTGTGGGGAGAAGGCCCGGCCACGGTGGGGTTTGAGGAGCTGTCCCCTGAGCATTTTGTGAGCGGCCCCCGCTGAGGTGCAGTTGGGAGAGGGGGGAACCAGGAGGTGGGTGAAAGGGATGCTAAAGTCCTCAGAAGGGGAGGCAATTAGGGAGCAGGATTTTTTTTTTTTTTCTTGTTTCTGGATAAAAACCAAAATGCAGGGGAGGCAATTAGGGAGCAGGATTATTTTTTTTTTCTTGTTTCTGGATAAAAACCATCTTTAGTGGAGGAGTTAATTTACTTGAACTCATCATGCACCATCTCTACCTCCAGTGGAAACACCGTGCAGAGCCACATCGCTGCACAGTTTGCAGTTTCAGCGGAAAGGCTGTGCGGAGCCACATCGCTGCACAGTTTGCAGTTTCGTGGTTTTCTTCTTCAGCAAAAAAGAAAGCTGGTGTTTTGTAACAAGGGGTAGTTTCTCAGATTAGAGTATCATGAGCACGCCAGGCTGTGATGAGCAATGTTGTCTTTGCAGGATCTGTTCAGCGTGCAGGCTCGTGTGGCACTTCTGCCTCTCTGCTCCCAGAGTGTGGTTGGATCACATCAACAAAACAGCAATGCCCAAAATGTTGTATTCTCAGGGCGCACGTTGGTAAATTACGTATGAAAAGCACCATAATATTTAATGTATATTTTATCCACATAAAAGGGGTTTTTTACATTGCTAGAAAATGCATCTCTTTCGTTATCTACAAACCAGTGAAAAGACAGCCCCTTCATGCTCTTCATTTGCATGCCCCATCTTTTGCCTGGAAGAAATACCCGTTCTTTAGGACATAGTGGCTTTGAAATAGGATACTGCCTGAAATCTTTATTGTAACATTTGACTTCAAAAGAGACGCTACTGGGTTGGGAAGGAAGCCATGCTAGTGAGTTGATCCTTAAAAATAATGAAATTTGGTAAGAAGCTACTACAACAACAAGGTTAAGGATAAATGTCATCAGCTCTATCACCATATTTTTTCTATCCTGCAGCCCTACAAAAAGGTCATTTGGTGGAATTATGTCATCAAAGACAAAATAAATTATGTTTTCCCAGTCCTCTGCTTTACTATTATTACTGAAATCCACGGCATGCTATAGTTGAACCATTTTAGCCTTACTAGCTGAAATATCTTTAACTTGTACTAAGTATGTAACAGCTAAATCAAAGTTTCTGATTTTTTAAAATATATCTTTGATCTGTACAAGCCTACTGGTCTAAGCACACCCCAAAGTGAAATGAAATGTAGCGTTCGTGTTCCTACCAGCCACTGAGCTAACGGCTATTGAGGTGTGCGTGGAGAAAGTGTCTCCGGCAGTGTCATAGTGTTGGCTTCTCTCATCTCTTCAGACTCATTACAGTGCCATTTGCTCGTACAGACTGTGTGGTCAAAGAATGCTTGCTCGCATCTCTTGGTCCTTTCAGAGGCCTGGTTAATTATCTGTATCTATTCATAGTCTAAACATTCAGCATTAATAACTATGCTGGTCGCTTCAGGGCAGAGCTTGCCACATTTGTTATTGACAATAAGCAATGAGAATTAATTGTCTCTCATTAATTCAGTGGTGAACAACTTACTTCATACAGCGGGAGACGGCCTCATGATGGAGTGTTGTGCTGTCGTTGAGAGAAGAGGGTTGTTCTCACTCTGGTCGTTACTTGTGCACCACAGTCCCCTCGGTTTGCCGGCTCTCTTGTTGCAAAGCGCAGCTCCAGTCCTGGAATTGGCACCAGCCACCTCGCTGCCTGTGCGGCGCTCGCAGGGCTCTGCGCAGACACAGCAGACCTCCCACACAATTTTTACTTCACGAAATGGAGCTGGCATCTAGATAGTTTGCTGCTTGTCCAGACACAACTCCGCTTTGTCACACCCAATTAATGCCTTCATTCTGAATCACATTGATAGGCTTGTGCTCACAGGCAGAACTCCTTGCAGGTCTTGTGCTTCAAATATTTCAAAAATTAATATTCATGAGTAGTTTTGCATAAGTGAGTAGTGCCATTCAGTTAATGATGGAGGCCTTGATTCCCTAGGCAAGAGTAGGAAATGTTTTCAAATAAATACATACACCAATTACCAAAAAACTCTGGTATAAACTGTGACAACTGTTCATAAGACCTTGTTGCCAATTAATTGCATTTGTCCCCAGGATAATACAGGCCTTTTTTCCTTAATTCTGAGGACTACATGGCTATAATTTGGAAGTAAACAAGCATGAAATCAGCATGGCCACAGCCTATCATCCTCGGACTTCACCTTTCCATTGGCCAACAGCTAAGAGAACCTCATAAAATTCAGAATATTCCTTAGTATGTCTGCTTTAAGGAAACTGATTTAGGGCCTTTATCTCCATAGGTTTTATGATTCATTGCATTTGATAGACAAGGAGAAATCTGAAATACAGCCCATGTGCACTGCTGTAACTCCACTGACGTTAGGCATCTATCATCAACTGCCACCTGCATTCTACTGCTTAAGGATTTATAGCTCCCATTATTGAATTCCTCCAATCTTTAAATGTATTTCTTTTCTCAACAACTTAATGAGGTCAGGAAGAACTGTCACAGTTAAAAAAGTGAACAAAAAGGGTGTTCTGCTCTGGGCTTGCAGAAAGACTGTGACAGAGAAACTGAGCACATCTCTTGTCAATACTCTGCCGCACCTGACCCACTGCGTCATGCTTGCCATTTGCAGTTTGTTTGCTAATAAAAATTAATACAGAATGTTCCCACTTGAAGCCATCTCAGCTGTCAAAATACAGTACTAAATGAGCTGCTGTTTAAAATAATTTTATAGACAAGTAGGTGGGCCTTGAGTGCTTTCAAAGTAGGGCTGAAGACCGTATTTTACAGCGTTCTTAAAGATGAGCTGTCACAACATGTTGGTGTGCGGGTTAGGGGAGAATTAGTTTTGGATCTTTGTATTTTCTTACAAAAGGCTGTGCTGCTCTTATTATCTGCACCACAGATTCCACCAACTGCTTTATGAATTCATCTGCAGTTGAGTTTTATCCTTCAGAGCATCACACTTTATCTAGGGTCTTCATTTATATTCATCAGAGAAGATGAAAATAAAATTTTGCTTTAATTCAAAGGCGATTTCAGTGTATGATTAACATTCCACATACAATTAGTCTCATCAAAGTCAAGCACATGCATAAATCGTTGCAGGGCTGGGGCCAAAACATTTCAAAGTATCCACTTGCTCAATTCAACATTTTATATAAGGAATTCTTCTTATCTCTTATTTATGCAAGGGCCTGAACTAGGTAAATCTTGATGCAGCTAAGTCTCTCTATAATTAATCATTTTCTTACTTTTCATCTGATATCTACTCTATACAGTATTCTCTAATTCTGCCAGCCGTTGCGTATGAACACAGCTCACTAACTGTAACACAGTTATACTCTTCTGCACGAGTCCTTATAGCAGCAGCAGGAGTATCAAGCAAACAATCTCAAAAACTAAGTTTTCAGGAAAATGTGTAACAACTACAGTAGGTAACAGCATTGACTGTACAGTTTGGGTAAACAAACCGTTTTTTAAATAATACTAAATCATAAAAAGCTATATTAAATTATACCTTATTGCAATATCTGCAGGAAAAATACTAATTTTTCCATTAAGATACAACTGTTGTTTTTTCAATAAGTTGAAAAAAATTCAACTACGGCAAAGTTCAACTAGTCCACTTAAGACAGAGTGGAATCACCAAAACTTTAATACTATATTTTTGGCATGCAATATATACATAATTAAACAGTTGAAAAACATATACAAGTGTAGTATGGATAATGTAAATGCAGTCTGGCTGTGGATTGTATCTATCAGTATATTCACAGTACCAGTCATAACATTTGCTAGCAAGAAAAATAGTAATTGATTTTTATTAATAGCGCTAATCAGGCAAACGTGCGACAGCTTGCCTTCCCTTCCCAGAGGCACGGCCTCCGTTTCACGCTGCGTACTGGTATGAGGGGGCTTCACAACGTCCCAAGAGCAGGGCACGCTGGACCCCCTCACAAGGAGCTTTGTAAACACCAGCGCGAGATCCGTGGCTACAAACCAGGTAAACAGGGTCAGGCAGTGGGCAACCACCCAGACGCAGTAGGACAGGTTGGCCATCCGGCGGGACACGGGGTCCGCGTATAGTTGTGACAAGTGAAGGAAGAGGAAGAGCACAAGAACTGTGAGCAGTGAGAAACGTACTGCTTCAATCCAGCCTTGGACTGAGCTTCTGCACTTCAGCAGGCAGAGTCCCACCTGGACGCTTGCCATATATATGGCTAGATACCCAAAAAGAGAGAGCAGCCCCTCCCTGTTGGCATTTACAAAGCCAGCCCTGGTATCTCTGCCGTTGCTCCCGTGCAGGATAAACATCTTCAGAGAGGTAGTGTTAAGAGCAAGCTGATAAAGCACAGCGAGATTTATAGCAACAATCCAAGATTTATTTTTCGGAAATATGGCTAAAAGTAGAGATGCTGCAAGCCTCACAAACGCTAAGGTAAAGAAAAAATTCCAGTGCACTCCGTACTCTGAAGTATGTTCATGATACTCGATTGATTTAACGCTCAGCAGTCGTCCAATGCCAAGAAAAATCAATGGCCAAACGGAAAAGAACTGCCTGGCCATATTGGAAAATCTTGGTTGTGTCACATCAGACTTTTGTCTGACTTCAGGACAAACGAGAGCGTTACCAAAAATAAAAGCTCCAACTCCAAAATCCATCACTCCCGTTCCATAGGTCTCGGTTTTGGCGTATCGCCTTGGATATTGCGGGAAATCCACTGCTAAAATGCTGATCGATGTCAACACATTGATATAAACACGAAACACCGTTATTGCTGGAATGTATTCTGGATCCAAGTACGTCTTCTGGAAGTCTTTTACAATTTGCCTAAAAGGCACTCTGGTCTCATGTTGTCTTTGGCTGTATATTTTAGAAAATATTCCAGCACAGAAGGCTGTGATGATAGCTGGCATGAAAAAGATTACTGGAGACAAGACTGTGCAGGCGAAGACGAGAGGAGACACCAGCACAAGGAAGTCCAGCAGCAGGCTGTATTTCCTTGAACTTAAAGGTTTCCCATAGCAGAGGTGATATAAAATCAAGAGGAGTCCTCTGCAAAGCAGGCAGAGTGGAGCGAGAGACAAGCCTAGCGAGATTTCCACCAAACTCGTTCCGTTTAAATTGCTGATAAAAGCTTCTTTCAGGTGTTTTTGCGACATCCTTCCTTCTTCCTCTGAAACCACAAACGTGAACTTGAGTTACTTTTGTAAAACAGGGCTCTTGGAACTTCTTCAAAAAGGAATCTTACGTACCAGTTCATTAAAGCATACGCTGACGGCAGCAGTCGTGTGGTTTGCAGTTATTTCTCAACGTCAAGAACTCAGAGCAGCCCCGGTGCTGCCGACGCCGGCGCTCGGCTGTGGCCGGTGAAGCTGAGCAGAGGCACCTGCGCTTGCCAAGACCTGACCGAGCTCCGGCGTTACAAATCTTGTTCTTTTCCAAGAAGATGATTAACATATTCTTGCTGAAGATCTCCAAATGTCAAACACTCTGCTGAATATTCACATTGTGAATAATCTTTACTGTACATCCTGCTCTGAAGAACACAGTCATATTCCCTACGGCATAAATGAATCCGGTACATACAAACGTGACCCTAACGAAGTTTCTGGTTCCTGCTCAGCAGCGTGCAATAACCCACTTGCACCCCAAGTGCATCTTAAATCAAGTTCCCAGCCCCACAGCGATCCCACCCGGCCAGGCGCCTCTCCTGGGACCTCTTTCAAGAGAAAACAAATTCAAAAAAGCATCAATTCGAAAATCAAAATT